AGACATGCCCTAAATCTCTAACTTTTGCATGATTACTTGCAAATTTTTTGTTTTTGCTTCCTCCCCTACATAACTTTTTTTTTGACATCTTATTTTAAAAGGCTTTTTGGGGAAAAAAAGAGTAAAATATGACATATATATGAGAGAGAAAAAAAAAGTCTTTTTTCGCTCTAAATAAAAAATATACTCATCTCACATTTTTATGCATTTGTATTTTCTTTGTTATGCTGAAAATGCTTTTGATTTGAGTTTGGAAGTGCACATAGGAAAGAAAATATTATATTATTGTGTGTTTGGGACAAACTTACTTTTTCAAATTACATGGATTTTTTTAGTTTCATTTGTGTATATATCGTTTGTTGGACCGAGTCTAACGTATTTGGGTTTGATCTATAATGGTCCATATCACTTGACGAGTTAGACCACATGTCCCATCTTTCATCTCGAAGGAATGGCTACACTGCTAAAGACGATATCGAGTTGGAGATTGAGTGGCCAGAAGAATGTAAAGAAGTAGTTGAGAACATACACACAACCTAGTTTTCATATCATAAATCTTGGATAAGTGTGAATTTCTAGTCTTCTATGGCGCGAACTCAATTATTCGACCATATTTGAATTGATCTTCGGTCAAACAGGTAATATTTTTACCTTGCGTATGTGATAGGTAAAGCATCTAGCATCTACTCCATGAAATGTTTAAAACAAACAAAGGTGATTTCGATTTTTTTTCCTATGTGTAGCATGCCGTATCATACGTTGTTCTTCCTATGATGATGATGCCGTTCTTAACATATTAAGAATGTGATATTGTAAAACAAAAATACGACACTTTCGAATGTCACCGCTGGTAGTCGCTAATAGACCTATACATATTGAAATGGATAATCCGTTTTTACCTATACCCAACCCAATTATCAGATATTTTGGAGTAAAAATAATTCAAATTACTTGTTTATATCACGATAATTTATTCTAGCATAGAAATAAGAATTCAATAATTGCCACAAATACAAAATATTTTATACATTCTTAAAATTACCAAATGTTTCATCAAAATATCCTGAAATTCTCAAAATTATTTGAAATCATATAAAACTTTTCAATACTATCTAAGACTATCGGTAATTATTTGAATAGTGATTCAATTAACTTGTTCGGGTATTGATTTTAAATACTTGAATTACCTTTATCCATTACTCATCATTATCCAATCCTATACTTTGAACAGTGAGTTTTGATACCTTAATTACCTATACTCAATCTTTACCTGCTCTGATCTGATCATTTATCCACAATGCACATCCCAAATCGCATGCGTTGGCGTTTGATGGCCGCTTTATGTGCAATCCAAATGCGACCGAAAACAAAAACTCGGTTTAGAGCGGTTTCTGATTTCATCCACGACCGCCTTTGTACCGCAATAATGAAATCAAACGGTTAACAGTGACACGTGTTCCTTCGTTATCAATCGATCTGATTTCAAACCCCCCAAAAATGAAATCACAGCAGCAGTTGGCGCTAATTTCAATTTCTTCCCCCCACAATCGACACTGTTTCTCTCTGTCTATAATGGTCATGGCCATCAAATTCGCTTCACTACTTGCTCTCTTCTTCTTCGCTGCTGTCTCAAAATCCCAATCAAGGGGTTTGTTTCTGTTTTTTTCTCCACTACTATTCGATCCTCCGTAGTGTACGTATGCTTGATTTTGAGTGCGTCTCTTATCGTAGACGAATCTGGGCTCCCCAAATTTTTAAATCTGGAGAAGTCGCCGGAATTGTTATCAGAGTTCTTGGGAATTTTGACAACCATTCATTAGGGTAGACGACATTTAATCCTAGAGTTATTGTCAATGGGAAAACTGGTAACAGTTCCTACATTTCTGGTGTTTTTCTTGATCTTGGTGCCGACATTAGCACGTGGAAGATCTCTTTTATTCCCATCATGGTTGGGATTTTCAACCTTATTGTAGACGAAGAGAACTTCAAAGCCTTGGATTCTGATTATTACTGGTGTTTCTTCGTTGTTTGGTTAGTATTGAAAAACTGAATTCCTGATTAGTATAGTGTTTTTTTTTTTTTACTTATTGTGAAGGGATAATGCACCCATCTGTATGTGTTGTTTCTTGGATGGGTCTTACAAACTTGTTTGAAGCCGGGATGAATGCTTCCATCTTGATTCTTCCCAAGGATGCATTTGGAAATAACTTGTCGTTTTCCGGGAAAGAGATTGAGTTGCATGGGTTTTCTTTGTCTCTTCTCTATGAAAACGGCTCATTCGCTAGCATTCTTAATGTCACACACATGAGATGGATTGAGTCTGGTTACATTTCCATTGACTTTGTTCTTGTTACCGCTGGAAAATTCGTATTGCTCGTGGAGAGGGAGAGCCAAAATCTGAATGGTGCTCCACTACCTCTTGAGGTTAATTCAGGTGATTCATTCAGTTTTTGTTTCCATGATCTTTTCAGTTTCAGCATCCTCTATTATGTGGATTTAAGCTGAGCAATGTTTGAGTAGGGCCTTTGGATGTTTCCAATTGTGTGAGCATATGGAAGTCAGAGCTGAACGCATGGCAGATATTTTCCAAAATGGAAATCTTGCTGCACCAGAAGGACCGATTCGGAAACCTTGTTTCTGGATTTTATGAATTTGATGCTGATGTGGTGGAGGAAAAGACGGGGTTGTCCATACTGGTAGCAGATTTCTAGTTTAAGTATGTAGAGAGAGGGGTCCAGTTGATGTCTTTCAGCCTGTTTGAACTAGGAAATTTCTTAATACTCTTTCTGATATGAAGCACAAGAAGAGCATCTCTGGTATGCCATATGCGTACGCAGTGTATATAGGTCAGTGTTTGCCACAATTTTTCCATGGTTTGATGCTACTTTTTCTTCTCTACTCTTCATTTCGTTTCTTGACAGGTTATTGTGATGCATCAAGAAGTATAGTGAATGGTTCAGGGATCAATGTTTCTATTGCTAGGGAGTCTCTTGGCTTCACTATCTACTTGAAAGATGCTTATGGTTATCCCTCATCAATCCAAGTGAATAAACGTCAAGTCCGAATCACACAAGAGACTGATTCATTATATATTTTGCCAACAATACAGCCACGAGAGACCCTTAATGGTTCAAAAGTAGTTTCCTTGATTTACTGACTTTCATTAGTGGTTGATGTCTTGACTTGTGGCTTATATTACAACAGGGACTGGATCAAGTTACTCAACTACTATCCCCTTTTATGAGAAATATGGCGGAAAAGTAAGAAGTTTACCTGCATATATGCTTATGCTTACCCGATCAGACCTGGTGACTTAATGGGGTTTTCCTTCTTGCAGGCTTCAGGCAACCTAGTGACTCAAGCGAGTATCTTTGATGTAACTTATACGCCAAAGAGAAGTGGAGTTTATAAAATATTTATATCATCTGGAAATATAGTCCTCAATGGAGGCCAACCATTCATCAAGGAAGTAAATACAGATAT